CGATGGCACCAGTCAGTTATGTCAGCTAGAAACATGCCTTAAGGACGTTAGGACCTGGATGACCAGAAATATTTTGCTACTTAACTCAGACAAGACTGAAGTTATTGTGCTAGGCCCTAAGAACCTCAGAGAGACTTTTTCTAGTGATTTGACTGTCCTTAGTGACATCGGCCTGGCATCTAGCACCACTGTTAGGAATCTAGGAGTTCTATTTGATCAAGATATAGTCTTTTATCAGGCAAGTTTCAAGAACAGCCTATTTTCACCTTCGTAATATATCCAAGATCAGGAATATCCTGTCGCAAAATGATGCAGAAAAACTAGTTCATGCATTTGTTATCTCCAGATTGAATTTTTGTAACTCTCTTTTGTCAGGGTGCTCTGGCAAGTCTCTAAAGACTCTTCAACTGGTCCAGAACGCTGCAGCTCGTGTACTGACCAGAACCAGGAAAAGGGACCACATTACTCCTGTCTTGGCTTCTCTGCACTGGCTTCCTATACAGTCTAGAAAAGAATTCAAGATCCTTCTTCTCACTCACAAAGCTCTAAATGGCCAGGCACCATCTTGTCTTAAGGAGCTACTAGTGCCGTACTGTCCCTCGAGAGCGTTGCGGTCCCGGAGTGCAGGCCTGCTGGTGGTACCTACAGTCTCTAAGTGTACTATGGGGGGTAAAGCCTTCAGTTATCGGGCTCCTCTCCTCTGGAACCGCCTTCCAGCCAGGGTCCGGGTGGCAGACACAGCCTGTATTTTTAAGAATAGACTTAAAACTCTCCATTTTGATAAATCTTAAAGTTAGTGCTGGTGTAGACCAGCTCTTAGTTATGCTGCTATAGGCTTAGACTACCGGGAGAACTGGCACCTTGAGCTCCTCTCTCTCTCTCTCTCTCTCTCTCTCTCTCTCTCTGTTCATATACAGTACATCATATTACTGCATGTATCTATCTGTAAATCTCAGTCACTAACCACCTACTTTCCTGAGAGCTCTTGAGCTCTCTTAGGCTCCTCAAGATCGTTGGTTGACGGCCTGCCAGAACAACCCCCACCCCACCCCTACCCCATCCCCACCGGATCGTTGGTTGACGGCCTGCCAGAACAACCCCCCCACCGGATTGTTGATGGACGGTTTGCCTCCCCCCACCCCCTTGCTCCCTATCCCTCTTCCTGCATCTTATCCCATCCCTCCCCCTATCCCTTTCCAAGCACGGCGCAGTCTAGGCCTGTGAAGGCTGTTTCGTCATGAGCCGGGGATCCGGCCGAAGATTTCTGCCTTTTAATAAGGCAGTTTTTTCTTACCACTGTAACTTTTGCTGCTTTGCTAAAGTGCTCATGATGGATAGGCCGGATCTTTGTAACATAGCAATAAGTAAGGTCTTTTACCTGCTTTTTGTAACATAACAATGAGTAAGGTCTTTTTACCTGCTCTTTTGTAATGTTAACAGACAAAGAGTAAGGTATTTTACCTGCTTTTTGTAAAGTGTCTTGAGTTAACACTTGTTATGAGTTGACGCTATACAAAAATAAATTGAATCAATCTCTCTACCTTCATAGAATGAACACCAGGCAGGATGATGTGGAAGCTAAACATGGCTGAACAAGGTCTCTTGCATCTGGTGGGTACATGTACCCCTCACCTGAAACCAAATTACATATCAGAACCTGTGGTCAGGCCAAAAATAAGGCATAGAGGTAATCGGGAACTAACACTGATGTTCAAGAACATATTGATTCAGCAGAGGACAACTTATTAACTCTACAACTTACCTCTGAGTACTGTCAAGAAGCTTGTAGTGTCTTCAATCCCCCCGATACAGCAAAATAAGCCTCCTTCGGCCATCCAAGGATTGAAGAAGAATCCCATGTTATGGGCTGAATCATTCCCTATGGGTGCCAGTATCAAGTTATACGCTCTCCAACTCATATTGCACATTCACAACCGATTCCATTCTCTTCAGGCCCTATTTGTTCAAAGCCTCTGCTGTCATTAAATCGACAATGCTTTCAACCTTTTGCTGCTCCCCCTGCAGGGGATGTCCTGCATGTCACTAGCAATCCGATTCATTCTTATCATCCAGAAGCTCCAGGAAACCAACAAATCGCTCCTGCCCGCTTTACTCATCCACATCTGTATCCTTATGCTGGTGTTCATGCACAGCCACTTTCATCATGGCCTGGAGCTCAGGTACAGCTACCACATCAGAGGTGGCTCATCCTAGCACCAATACAGTTGCATATGAACTTTACTGAGTTCCTAAGCCAATCATACCAGACTTCACTAAGGATAGTGAAAGACTTTGCTAACCTGAAGCACTGGACAATCTTCTGAACCTTATGTTCAGCTAAGTGAGAAATATAAATATCATGTTCTCCTTGAGCATCTGAAATTACCTGAGGCTCAATGATTGCTCAGTCTTGCCAGCCTCATCATCTTGCTCAATGTTAGATAACAGCAATACTTACCTCACCTGACATAAAAGTTGGTGACTCACAAGGGTTTCAGAGTTTTTCTCTACGAGTTCACTTACTAGTGAGTATGCTGACATTACTAGAGGGCCCAACTGGTTATGAACTGAATTGTTGCTCTCATGTTGACTGGTTATTGAGCAAACTCCCTAAATACTTTAGGGAAAGTTTCATTGAGTTCTTACACCTTCAAGGCAAACCCACAGTAGCTACGTTGAACCCCCACAGCTTAAGAGACTTGATTGATTGGTTACAATCAAAAGCTCAGCAGCAAAGGCTTTGAAACTCATTCAACAATATTGTGATGTGACTGACAGCTGGGCTGATTGACTGAGAAACTGATTGACTTAACTGGCAGCAGGTGTGCCTGATTGCACTCTTTGGGAGGGAGGGTGTCGTTCGCAGCTTTTTAGGGCTGCCGGCGACGAAGACAGGTAGCTAGGAAATAGCGGATTGTGTGTTAGGAGGGGAAGTCTGATAGCTCCTTTAGATAGTTGATAGTTGAGTAACCTTTAACCTTTTACATTTCTACCTATTGCTGTTAATGTGTTTGGCTGATGTTAAAACGTGTGTAATAGTTTTTAATAATGTGGGGTGGGAGCATAGCGGGGTACCGTAGCCTGTTCGGGGCAGCCGAATGGTTTCTCCCTCGAGTGGCGTTCACGTGTCCAGTTGCAGTGAAGTTTAGACGTGTTGTTTTGGCAAAGTATGATGTGCTGTGCCTCCAGTAGAGGGTGACAGCATGCTGTGTTGCAGTGGTGTGCCTTATGCTCATTTTCTAGCCCTGTTGTGTGTAGTCGATAATAGGGGAAGCCCTTTAAATGGTCGAGTGGGTGACCGGATTCTCTGCTGTGGTCTCCCTGCCCCATTCTTATGAATTGTGTATTTATGTGTGTTAATAAAGACTATATATTGTAACTTTGTAAAGCTGCATTCTGTAGTCTTGTCTTGTCTGTAGCAGTTGTCTATCATTGTTCAAACCCGAACGTTAATCCTACCCTGTTTCATGAGGGTAGAAAACCGATGCTAGAGGTGTGGTCGTACTTCTCATTCCACCTGAAGAAATCCTGTCCTGACTGTGATAAACTCCATCTTCAAGTTTTGCATCCTGTGGCTAATCAAGAACTACGTTCTGAGCTGACACGCTCCCACAGCAAAGTGTACTTCTCTCACTCCAACCCTCCAGTCGTGTACTTCTGAAAGTTGTCCCAGTTCTACTCTGTAAGGATAACATCTCTCTCAGTACATATGCCATACTGGACGATGGCTCTGTTCGATCCATGGTTTTTCCTGCTGCAGTTCAGCAGCTTCAGCTGAAGGGGAAGAAGGAAGTACTTGCTCTCCGCACCGTTCGTTCCGATCTCACCCACAACGAGGGGGAAAGTTTTCAGTTTGAGATCTTGCCCATTTCAGTACCAACAGTCAGGTACCCGATACCGCATGCTTTTACTTCAAAGGGGATTGATCTTATTGATCAAACATACCCTGTTCAGTCTCTTAAGCTCCGCTACCAATACTTCAGCTCTTTATAATGTTTTTCTAGGAACCAGCCAGTGTTCTCAGTCAGGAGATATGAAACATTGATATTTAATTCAGATATTCCACATTTTATTCATTAAACCACAATTATGTTTCCAAAAATAAAAAAAAACAAAGGCAATAAGTTTGTGCTGATGTGTTGTCTTAAATAAGTGCTATCAAAGTGGATCTCCTGCACGTGCCACTTTAAATAGATTAAATGGTAATGATTGATCAGAATAAGACACTATTTCACAGTTCAGTATGCAGTACGTACTATTCAGTATGGAGTTTCAGTATACTGAACTTTCATGGTCATTCAGTATGCATTTTTTGGGTCCGCGCAGTATACTGAACATTTCAGTATGGATACTAACTTCCGGGTTTTATGCAGTATGGATCGGATGCGTGCTTTCAGGAAATGAATTGTGTTTTACCACCCACAATGCTGTGCGAAATTAAACGTAAATCGTCACGTCACGTCCGCCTCCAAATCAAAACAAACGAGCGTGGATTAATTGAATCAATTTTTAATCTTAATTTAAAGTCCCGACTGAAATCACTACTTTAATAAAAAAACAGAAAATATAACAAATGTCTGCATTATTATAAAACCTTTCCCCCTCTATTTAAATAATGATTTCACTATTTAAATGCGTCTTTATTGGTTTATTTTATATTCTGTATATTACTGTCTTTCATTTGTACTTTCCTTTATATACTGTATGTTATTTAGTTATTTAATCTGCCTTTTACTTGATTTACATTGTGATATTGTTTTTTGTTTACCTGACCGCATTACTCTTCTTGAACAAAGCTAAACAAAAAAAACAAAAAACAAAAACGGGTGGATGCGGCCGGTTCGGGAAACGTAAATGACGTTACTTCCATACTGAATGAATCAGAAAAGTAGGAACAAATATCTGCCTACTGTGTGTGCATACTGAATAGTAGGTACTAACAGTATGCAGCACGGATAGTACGTACTGCATACTGCCTACTGCCTACTGAAAGATTAAGTATGTACTTGGCAATTCGGATACGGCCCGTGTCCCAGGGAAGAGAACCAACTAATGCCTCTAACCCGCAACAGACCTGTACACAAGACCTCCATGCTGTGCTGAGACAGATGAGTGCCTCGCTGGCTGAACAGAGTGTGGAGTTGTATTGAGGCACTTACAAACACAGACACAAGGTACAGTGGAGTCTACACCTAATCATTCAGTTTACATGGCTTGTAAAGCAATTAAACAATCTACAGTTGATTTTGTATTATATTTGAAGTTAAAGGGCATCTCATGTATCTTGGTTGTCGTGAAACAATTTACCAAGGAGGTTGATCCTCCAGTAAAATAAAATCTAACATGAAGACATTTCTCTATTAAAGCACAAGCAGCTAAACTGAGAGAACAGCAGGCGGATGTGGAGAAGCAAAAGCAACAACTTCAAGGTATTTTGTGGAGAACATTAAGGTTCTTATAATGTCTGTTAAAAGCCACTGATAATATTGTACAATACACTTAAAACACAAAAAATGTTGATAAAAATCCTTGACAATTTTTTCAAATTTTTCAAAGTGTTAGTGCAAGAAATAGGAATTGTTAAAAAAAAAGTCATATGCAACAATGATCTTCGGAGTGTTTTTACATCATATATTGCTTTTTACTGACCAGAGCAAAGCTCAATACAGAAAGAGATATTGAGTGAATTCTCTCTTTTTTTTAAGTGTCACAATGCCATTGTTATCTAGAACAAGCAGCATAGCTGACACAACAGGTCAGGGGGAGGCTCTGAGGATAGGTGAAGAGCGTTTGACATACAACTAAAGCATCAATTTACTGTTTGAAAAGGTATGATTAATGGTTGAGGGTCAATTTATGTGTCTGGTCAACGCTTACATCGCTTCTAAAGCAATTAAACAATCTACAGTTGATTTTGTATTATATTTGATCTCGTGTATCTTGGTTGTAGTGAAACAATTTACCAAGGAGGTTGATCCTCCAGTAAAATAAAATCTAACATGAAGACATTTCTCTATTAAAGCACAAGCAGCTAAACTGAGAATACTGGAGTTACAGCAGGCTGATGTGGAGAAGCAAAAGCAACAACTTCAAGGTATTTTGTGGAGAACATCAGGTCTATGGTATCATCAATGTCTATGTTTTGTCAATTTTTTACATGTGAAAAATGTTAACAAAAAGAGAAACAAATTTAAAAAATAACAGAAGTACCATTTGAATAAGTAAAGGAAAACAGCAAGATATTTGAGCTGATACATTGGTCAAGAAAATTAAATCATACTGTATGCAGCGGTGACCATTTTACTGTAGTTCTAATAATCAAATGTGTCACAATGTTATTTTTTTCCAGCACAAGCAGAAGAGCTGATCACCATCAAAGCCAGGTCCAACGTGACAGAGAACCATGTGGAGGCTCTGAGGAGAGATGGAGAAAGTAAAAAAACAAAACGGAACCATCAAATTAATCTTTAAAATTAATCTTTAAATGGTGGAGAGCCAAAACATATAAAAGGATGACCACGTTGCTGCATCCAAAGTACGTTTAAAACAATGACATTCCCCCCCCCCCCCCCTCTCTCTCTCAGTCAAACAGGTGGCTTTCTCAGCCTCTCTGTTGGCTTCAGGATCAGGGTATGTGGGACCATTTAACACAGACACACCTCTGAGGTTCACGCATGTCGTCACAAACATTGGAAGTGCCTACAACCCAAACACAGGTACTTAAATGTTTAAACAGGATAATTAATCACACATTTTGACAGTATGAAGTGCAGCCTGGTTGAAGAATGATGCAAAGACAATTCTGCATTAACATCCACTGTTAAAAAATGTCCCACAGGCTTCTTCATTGCACCGCTGAGAGGAGCCTACCACTTTGAGTTCTACATAGGTGCCCATGGAGATGCTTCCCATGCCACATGTGCTGTGTTGGTGAAGAATGGAGAGCAGGTTTTTATGGCATGGGAGCAGCAACCTTCTTATTATGGTAGTTCTTCTAATGGAGTCACTCTGCTTCTAGCGGTTGGAGAGGTTGTGTTTTTACGTCTGTGCGTTAACACAAGGATATATGACAATGAAAATCACCTTAGCACCTTCAGTGGTCACCTGCTTTTTACCATGTGAGATGGAAACTGTCTTTGATATTTTCAGCTGTCTAATTAAGCTACACACACTGCAGCAGTGTGTCAGTGTTTGTTGATGAAAGTATCAAAAGCATAACAATTTATATATTTTTTTTTAACTCATCTTATTCTTTTCGATTTGCATCCAAATACACAATGTTAGGCAACAAGGATGTTTTCTTTTACCACTGATTAAAGAAGTGCAGTAATTAAAGAGATTAATGGAAAAATGTTGGCTTTTTAAATGAACTTCTTGATAGAAAAGAGTACCGTTTTACTACATGCTTCAAAAGTCTAATCTTCTGTATTTATCCAGTATTTATAGCTGGACTGTGCCCGTGTAAATATAACATTTGTTATATAATGTATTTTTTTAACAAAGAAATAAAATCATGAACAAATAATTTTCAACATGAACTATTTATTGTCTTTACTTTAACATATGCAAAATGTATTTTAATGACTGACCAACATTTAGACCCATAACTGAAACAAAAGTTGGTATTTTTAATAAACAAAAGAGCAGGTCTAGACCGTTCTCTTTGTTATATTATTTACAAAACCCAACATTAATCCACCACAAGCACAGAAACATCTGTTGTAACTGAGTTGGAGTTGAGAGGGGATAGAGGGAGATGCAAAGCGACAGACTGCTTGAACTACTGACTCCCAGATTTGACTTATAGATGATTCTATTTGAATGCAAAATGTTGTGTTTTGTAAATTGTACTTTGTCTCTCTGTGTCTCTGTCTGTGACTTTGTGTTTTTGCTGCTGCCTGTCTTTGCCAGTGAGGTTCTTAATGTCAGTGGGACCAACCTGGTTAATTTTTTTTTTTAAATGTGCAGAAGTCAACCAGTGCTAGGGATCAGTATTGACGATGGTTTTTCCCCAACAGCAAACTCTCACCTTGTTGGAAACTTGAGGGTAGGCCTACCCTGATTTACGAGCTGACAGTGAATCCACAGGTGTTGACTGCTTGGTTTATTAACTTTGATAAGCAGTCTTCTCTAGCACCACCCATTCCTTCAATTATGGCCACTTCTTGCTCCAGAAAACAAAGGGAACCAATTTTTGCAGTCGAGTAACTATATGGATGACGTCAAGCTGGCTACATCCATTATTTTCAAGGGTTGTATGGATCACACCTTTTCAGGGACTACTTTCAAGTCTGATTTTCTGGACTGATCTGAATCTTTTTTGGAATCAAAAATGTGATGTTTAACTAAAATTCATTTTTCTGTCTTGTTGATAAGGAAAAACTTCCCCCAAAAAAGTGTGTCATTAATCTTGGTCTCATATAAGTAAAATGACATACACACACAAGCAAATGTTTGAAACAGAATCTTAGCCTTTTTGTCATCATGTCCTACAATACAAGTAAAATCCTACCTGGAGACATGAAATTATTGTACAAATCTCACAGCTCTAAAAACCAAAGCTTTTTGTGACACTTGAATTGCAATTTATTTGATTTAAGTTTTTCTGCCGTAGTTTAAAACAAATATCAAACTCAATTTATTCCCCCTCTTATGAAAACCAGGTTAATATACAATTATATTATAATATTGATCGTCCTAAATAACAGAGAATAAACATTTACAATAATCGTTAGTTCCTCCTCTTTCCTAACTGTCTCCCTCTCCGGCAGCTTAATGAGTATTCTATGTTCCCTACAGTCGTGTGTTTCTGATTACAGCTTTGTTATAATTTATAACTTGATCTACACTATGTATGAACTTTGTAGATACAGGCTGATGCCTGACTTTATATCAGCCTGTTAAACTCTTTCCAGGTTATGAATAACTGTTCCATACTTGACCATCCTTTCTTTCTCTCCATTCTCTTTTTCTTGTAACTGAATTAATATTATGCTACTTTATTTGCATGTAAATCACCCCTGAGCAAAAGAAAAAAAAATTGCATTACTGGGAAAAAAACGTTTGTCTGCCATATTTAAAAAAAATATTTACTTAATTGTATTTTCAATTCTGTATTTGCCGTATCAGAGTTTATAACCTTGGTCCTGTCATTGATATCTGATGTACTTCGATGTACTTGGTTAATGAAGTACAATAAAGTCCTGAAAGGATACAGTCTATGCTGAGGACCAGCTGAAGGGTCTATAGTTCAGTAGCCTATAAGGGCATTCACAAGTCTCCATATGATTGCTGTTCGGAGAAACAGGCTGCAAAAAGTAAATTCAAGCACCCATGCCAAGGACCAAAATAAATGCAGATCAATCTGAAAGCTCATAAAAAAAAGTGACCACCTCATTTAAAAAGCACACAGGTTTTATTGCATATCAATTTCATGTATAAATTCTTCATAGCATTGGAAAGATTACATTTGGTATACATTGCTATTCTACAGAATTAACATCAGTCATATCTTTTCAATGAATTTTCTCTAAAGTACATCTTCAATAATCACAAGCATCAAAAGAACTGCAATTTTCAGAATTGTTCAATATTATTCTACAATCCTTAATTGTTTTTTTCATTAAGTCTTGTACCACAAGTCTTATCTATGTCTTTCAGAGCCACCTGTAAGGCAGTCAAGAACTTGAAGTCAAACCTACTAACCTAATCACATGTACAATAAGTGCATCTACGGATTTATTTTTTTCTTCTTTTTTTCTTTTTTTTTTGATTTGATACGCATTTCACAAATGGACATCATTATGACTGCTAAACACGTCATGCACAATATCTTTTTTTTTTGTTTTCAATAAACATAACAGAGGAGATATACAACTCAGATCCAAACAAAACAAGCACCATTCATTTAAACCCATATTTTTCAATGCTTTTTTTTCTTCAGACAAATGCATCATTGTTTTTCATTCTTTAGAGTACTATACAGTTAAAAAGAAACAATATGTATATTTTTACTTTCTCCTGTAACAGTGGGGGGGGGGGGGGGGGCAGCAACCATGTTCTATAATGCTGAAACATATTTCAGCAACCATCTGCCAGAATACTTTGAGGTTGGAGAACCAGAAAACTTCAATGCCTTTAATTCCTTCGCTTTACACATCGCGTACTTATTACAGTAGTCCATGACATGAATTACTACATATAGTCAAACTAAAAACTTAACAATCGGAGTCTTTACATTTTATAACCACAAGTGGGAAAACATGTGTTCACCATGAATGAAAGATCATTCAGTAGAATTATAAAAAAGACTTCTTTCTTTAGAAAAATGAGATGATGCATCAGTCGTAGCATCATTCTACCACCTGCTGTGGTGAAGAAAAATTACAGTGCTTGTGTTTCAGATTTTCTTAAATCTCCATGTTGAGCAAGATTTGCTCATCTACTCCAAGTGAAACTCATCTGAAAATGTTTGTGTTTGAAGTTCTAGAGACCTAAGCCTGATCATGTTATGGCTTGGACCCATATGGTTTAAGTACTGGTTTGAGAATACAGCATCAGGCCTATAGATCTGAAAAGTCCCAGTACGCAGGGAGGATCAAGGCAACAATGATCAACAATGCTCCCCTCTCCTCTGCCTCCTGTAGCTATCTACAGCTATCTACAGTAAATGACTCATGCCCTCCATGGCACAGCTACCTTGAAGTCCACATGGAATGAGTTTCTAATATGATCAAGCAGGAAATATGAAGTTACAACTTATATTCAAATGTCTGTGTTTCCTGTCCAGAATCATGAAGACATTTTAGAATGTGTTAAAAGGACCGACCAGCAGAGTTTTGATGCTCATATTAACATTAGCTGTAGTTTTCTTAAATCTTTGTTTATGTTAGATTCTTCCGTCTTGCACTAACAGAGGTTTTGTCACTTGAATGAATATTGGATGTTCATAAGGAGGTTAATTTGTTTTTTCTTTTATTGTTAGGACTATACCGGGCAACTAGTTTAAAGAGAATATGTGTTTGTTACATTGTCTGTATAACTTGGAAAACAGAGGGGAAAAGGGGTTCTTGATGTTATAGAAACAAGTCAGATTTCAACAGAATTATAATGTAATGCCCTTTGTTGACATTCATAGCTCAAGTTGTCCAAGACCCCCCCTCCCTCCCTTCAATAACACCTGAACCAATTTGAGCAAGACACATTCAGCATTCTGGGTAAACTGGTTGAAGTGAAAGAAGAAAAAAAAAAAACTAAATACTGCAGAACATTACAATGCCAAATTGGATCTAAAACTAACTACAGCTATTTTCCACTATAAATAAAAACAATTAATTTCATGGGTTCTTACCATTTTGGCACACTTACGCATCAAAACCAGAGATTCAGAATCTCCCTCACACTCTGATAGGTGTTCATTCCTTCAGCAACAAGAACGGAGGGACAAAATGACTTTCCTTCATTTCTACTGCTCCAGTCATGACAAAACAACCAAAAATAAATACATACACACACTTCTGAAATCAAATTTAAGAGTGTAAAAAGAAAACAAAATGACAGCAAAGGCAAGCTCCCTTGGAAATGAAATGATTGTCAGAGAACAAAACATTTTCTATGGGTTATTTGGCACATACCACTCTTGCTATGAACATCTAGGTTATTTTGTACATCATATGACAATATCATACAATTTTGGTCCTTCTCTAAAATAATTATATTAACAATTTAGCACTGTGGTGCCTACAAAGAAACAATACTGTGGTATCTAAGAGGGAAAAGTAAATACAATTAAACGATGACGATAAAATAAGCAGAGAAAGACTTTTCTCATTTTTGAGTATGATTTAAATTCATATCAGCATGATCAAATTGGGTAACCAGTTGCAATGGCTAGTAAATCACCAGTTGTTGTGCACATTTGGACATCATTCTCCGTGTAATCATTAGAAAATCAACAGTTTACTGGAACTGTCACTTCCTCAAGTAACAGTTAGTGTGGTGCTATTGTCGATTCTGCAGTTATAGCTGAAACAAGATTAGTAAATGAGTTGCCCATGATTGATGGGAAAACCTGGAGACATTAGTGCACACACCCACTATGTTCCTAGTGAAACAACACCACC